GGGGGATTGTTCTGCCTATGGCAGGGGGGTTGGAACTAGATAATCTTTGAGGTCCCTTCCAACTCTAACCATTCTATGATTCTATGATTCTATGCTGTTGGCTACAACAGATAATGTGCCTTATTTATGCAAATCCTGTGGATCATCAAAAGCAAAAAAGTTTTAACTTTTTTTTTTTTTTGTAATTTATAGGAAGTGGAGATTTCGAGATAGAAAACAGAAAAAGGAAAGATTGACTTTCTACATGAGACTGCATTGTTCAGGAAAGAGAACTCTCCCTTTACATGCATTGCTGTCAACAATGCTCCTACATTCTCTGTGACAGTACTGCACAAGCACAAGCTAAACAAGGGGTGGATTATCTTATCCAGACTGAGCTAATCTTAAGTAGGAAATGTGGTATTTATCAGAGCAAAGAAAACATCATCCTATAAATAAACGAAAAGGCTTGCCAGCTGAACATTGGAAACAACACTGTTAGAGTCAATATGACAGTTGCAAAACATTGCTACTCCATCACCACAGCCATACCTGTCTTTTGGTCACAGTGCCATCCACAGGATCTATGTACTCAAAGCTGTCTGTTCGTTCCACACTGTAGATATTGTTACCCACAGCAAACTGCTGATGGCTGAACGATTTGTCAGTGATCAAAGCTTCCAGGTCTCTCATTATGAAATATGCTGTTCTGGGTTCCAGTGCTTCATAATCAAACCTTGCACATATATAAAAAAGTAGAACCAAGAAGTAAGTCCCATACAGCTGCGAAAACAGTTCTGCTTTCACAGAACTCAATTTGTTCACAATTAGTAATTTAGTGTTTCCTTCAAAAATCAGAGGTGGACCACTGAAGTACTGATTGCCCATTAAACCAGCACACGCATGCAAGTCCTGTGCAACCTGACCATTACGTGTGTGCACCACAGCTCTACACTGGCCACTTGACTCTGAGTCAACAGAACTCATTTAGAAAAAGCACGACTTCTAAAGAAGAATAGGAAATGTCATGGATACACAGCTAGCTTTCCAAGATTAAGGATACAATCAGCGCAGTGCTCAGCAGCCAAATGAAGTAGAGAAAACTTTGCTATTAGTTTTGAGGACCAGCTTTCTGCAAAACATCTTACGGATATGTGAACTCCTCTGGATTAACACTACTCTGAGAGAAAGAGAGAGGCAGAAGCTAAGATGTAAATGACACTTAGAATTCATCTTTTTGAGACCTTAAAAAAATGAGTAAATATTTGGATCTTTGGAATAGTTCTCTGTATTAAAAGAAGGCATAATTCCAGTTCTCACTAAAACACTGTCACATGGAAGTACATACAGAAACAAATGCAGGAGTAAATCCTGCTGAGATTTTGACTTTTTTTCTATGCCTACCGATTTCACAAGTAAACAATTCAAATCTTTCTGCCATTCGATATTAAAAAATTCCATTACTTGTATACTTGAAGTGACATATAAACACTGATCCTTCAGTAAGTAAGTTAACTTCCACTGCTGCTTACTCATCAGAAAAAAACTGCCTACAGAGCAGTGGCAATCTGTGGCAGATTTTCATTCTGTGGACACTGCAAACACACACCTAAATGGAGCTGAGCACAGCTGAGCTAAACAAGCCATGGCTATAGCCGAATTGTCCTATCAACTGCATAAGTTCCTGTGCCTTTTCCTCATTTTTCTCACCTGCAGTAGTAATGTCGGCCAAATTTTGCCCAGTGATCCCTGACGATCTCCTCCACGCTCTGCTTTCGAGCTGCTAGGATTGAAAGCCAAACTAGCACAGCCCATAGTCCATCTTTCTCTCGAAGATGATCAGAACCTAAAGAGACATATGTAAAGCACATTATTCGGTATCACTGCAAATCAGAAAACAAGGTAAAGAGGCTGGGCAAATGTCTTGTTTAACTTTGTATGTCACATAATAGTAATCAACAGTAGTAACCTCAGCAACTTTGATATCTTCCAGATGGACAAGCAGAACTAATGCTTAGAATGTGATATATTTATATATGACGAAGTCCATAATAAATAAAGGATAAATAAAAAGATATACAAATACTTGAATAGAAACAGTAGTAGTAGGAAAGCATTTTTAGTCATGATTCCTGCTCACTGACATACAGGGTGTTTTCACACCTCTGGTACTGTTTCCCAGAACTGGGCTAGATATGCAAAACCCTGGCCATGAACCAGAACGTCCTGAGTTATGTGAGTCAAGTTCAATAGCATCTCCTTATCTCTGCAGATGTTCATCTGTCTGTCAAGCTGTAGAGAAAGAATTTTCCCATTCTATGAAAACTGAAGATTTCCAGAATGTTCATGACTCCCCATGAGGACAGAAAAGAAGAGCCTGAAAAAATGTTTCTGGGAAAAAAAAAAACAAACCAAAACCAAACCAGAGAATAGCACTTTTACTCCTTTCAATATTTCTCCATACCTCTCAGTGGTAAAGATGTTTGGATGCTTAGATCTAAATCCCTTCCTAGGTTCATATCTATGAAGACAAAAATTGAACCAACAATGGAGACTAAGAACAATTTTGGAACACCCCACAGGATTTAGCACATACTTTCAGAAACGGGAAGCAAAAGTTCAAGTCTATTATCTGAATTCAAAAGAGCACAGACTTGATCTTGCACTTCCCATGTCCAAAGCCAAAATGCCAACTTGGAGTAACAGGCTGCTTTGCAATAGACGTGTAATGTACCTCAACCAGAAATATTTCTATGAAGCTAAGTTCTGTTTGTTAAAACTGGAATGTATCAATCAGCAAAAAGTTTCAGTAAAATCAGTACTTTCTAACAAAAGACTGTTTTCATGGGAAGGTTCTTGGTCATATCGGTAGTGTCCTCTCCGTTTGGATAATTCAGAACAAGCTTTTGTGGCAATACGTACCTAACACAGATTACCAAAAAACCACAAGGAAGCACGTATGAGAATTAAGGCAAAGTAAGATTCAAGATACTTGACACTCAATAGATACTGATGATGACTACATAAGCTAATAGAATCAAGAAACTTGAAGAGACATCAACTATGTGGACATTGCTCTGGCATAATAAAACCAGATTGGGTTGAAGTTTGTTAGCTGCAACCTTATCATTTTCTGTCTAGTCACACGTTATTGAAACCAAATATATTTGGTTTGTATATTGTACAAAGCAAGTACAGCAATTCACAAGTTTTGTTTCCTCCACAAATTACCTAGCAATCAGGGCGGTAACTAGCTGGACTTTCTGTGCCTTTAGAAGATACTTAGCAAAATCCTCCAGAGAGGAATCTAAAAAGTCTTAGGTTAAAACCCATTTTATCAAATATCCTCCTTCCTCAAACACAAAAATGCTGTGGCAGCAATCGTGCTTTGCAGTGTTTTGGTTTTACATAATAACCTTGCAAGGTCTACACAGTTATCTGTCAAAACAGCTGTGTTTTGCCAGTGGCAGAGGACATGATTCCCGTAATATAAATCGGTGCACTGAAGCTGTTAATCCTGTGAAAAACTGTCAACAGAAAATGAAAGACATGTAAGGAAAACAGTAAGATGTACAGAGAGCAACCATGATTCCTAGGGTTCAGTCTTGACTTCCAGCCCCTGCTGCTGCTTTGGACTTGCAGTCCCTCTTCTTCGGAGACAGCAGCAATCAGGACAGCAGCTGCTTACTCACAACAAACACATCTGCTAAGAGCCCACCATCCTGGGCCTGCCACAGCTCTGCCTGCCACTTACCCTTCTTGTGTCCCGTTCAACCCTGGGGCTGTAGATCTCCAACACCCAGAATCTAACGTTAAACAAGTTAACTACCACTGATTTCATAGATTTCATAGATTTCTCGGTTG